TTATTATTATTATTATTATTATTATTATTATTATTATTATTATTATTCTCTTTAGCACATTCTTTGGCTCAGTATTTGTAAACAACAATGGATCAAGCCCAGTAATTCCTAATTGAACCACAGACAACTACAATGATCTAATACATATCAATTTTACAGAAGACATTGTTGAAAAAGCACTGCTCAATCTAAAACCATCCTTATCTATTGGATCAGACAGAATATGTGCCTACTTCTTAAAAAAGCTATCCACTGCCATAGCCGAACCTCTAAGCATAATCTTTGAAAAATCTTTCAGGACCAGCTCCTTGCCAAGACTATGGTCACAAGCCACGGTCATCCCCATCTTCAAAAGAGGAGACCGAGGTGAAAATTACAGACCAATCTCTTTATGCTGAGTCACCTGTAAAGTCATGGAATCAATTATTAACCAATCCATTATTCTCCACTTAGAGACAAACAGCCTACTCTCTAATAAACAATTTGGTTTCAGAAAAAAAAACTATCCTGTAATCTGCAACTCTTACGCTGCAAAAATATATGGACTACACAATTCAATCAGGGCAAAACAATAGACGTAATCTACATAGACTTCTGTAAAGCCTTTGATTCAGTGGTACACGACAAAGTACTCCTAAAACTGAAATCTTATGGTATCTCTGGACACCTACATAACTGGATAGAAGCATTCCTGTCAAACAGACAACAAATGGTCAAAATTGGGAGCGTCCTATCAAATTCTGAACCTGTCAACAGTGGTGTCCCCCAGGGCAGTGTTCTAGGACCAACTCTCTTCATACTCTACATAAATGACCTCTGTGATCATATTAAGAGCGACTGTGTTCTCTTCACTGATGATGTAAAGCTATTCAACACCACAGACAATACTACTACCCTCCTTGACGATGTATCAGAATGGTCAATCAAATGGCAACCTCACCTCTCAACAAATAAATGCTCTGTCTTACATATTGGCAGGAAAAAATCAGAAAATAAAACACCAGCTGAATAGTCAAGACCTTGTTGATGATCCAAACTTTGCCAAGGAATACTCATCTCTAATGATCTAAGTGCTAGAGCCCACTGTAACTACATAGCCAAAAAGGCATTAAGAGTTGTTAACCTAATCCTACGTAGCTTTTTCTCTGGTAATATCACACTACTAACCAGAGCATACAAAACATTTGCTAGACCAATACTTGAATACAGCTCATCAGTCTGGAACCCACATTACGTATCTAATATTAACACAGTTGAGAAAGTCCAGAAATATTTCACAAGAAGAGTTTTCCACTCCTCTACTCGTTGCAGAATACCTTATGCCACCAGACTTGAAGTTCTAGACCTAGAAAACCTAGAACTATCCTGCCTTCGGTCTGATCTAAGTATAGTATATAAAATTATATATTGCAATGTCCTACCTGTCAATGAATACTTCAGCTTCAATCATAACAATACAAGAGCACACAAGAGATACAAACCCAAGGTTAACCGCACCAAACTTGACTCAGAAA